AACGAGAGGTCAAAACGGCAACAGCAAAACTTCTCGTAAGGTACATTCCGCATAACTCAAGCAAAACATTAAAGTTAGGGTGTCCATCACTAAAACCGTATTCATATATAAACATCAACCCCAAAACGTAAATAATATAAATGAATATTGCACAAGTTTAAATGGCACAACGGCGACGCATCATAAATTTCATTCGCGCCGGCTCCGCATAAGAATATTAGCCGAGGATGAATTCAACAATAGTTTTCCCGGGAAAGATTTGTATGCTCCATTTAAATTTAAATTCTATTCGGATTTGGGACATTTAATGGTGTTATTATATCATACCAGATTTTTGTTTGAAACAACTTTGTAGAAAGACACTATTCTCGTCAAACATGAAAATTAAGGGGGTATTCTGCTCTAGAGTCATGAATTTCTATTCTAATATTTGGAGGAGGCCTATACCCAATCCGGGGTTGCACAATAAACTATAATAATATTTCCTAAATAAAACGCTTTGCAACTTAATAATATTCATGTAGATATTTGATTGAAATTACAGTAGAACAAGAGTATTGAAGTTGCATTTTTAGCTGTCTATTGGTTATTATTGAGTGGATATATTTCTGTAAATGTCGTTTTTCTGTTATTATTGAATTAGAACTGTGACTGAGAAAATAATAAGAGTAATGCTGTTTGTTTTGTTAATTACGTTAAGCCCCCGTAGCCTAAACGTAGAGCGTAGAGAGCGTAGAGAGCAGCAGCTAATGTCTTGGCTCGTGACACGGCTACTCATCCATCACCGAGCACTATCTCGCTATCTGGCAACTACTATACGCGCCGACTACATGCTGTATGTTATAATTTATCGGAGAGATACTAGTACAAACGAGCGAATTTATTCCCAGATTCTAAAACTCAAACTCGAATTCGAACTGGAATTGGTCGAAATTTGTAGCAACTATTTGCACTTAGGAGGGACGATGATATCTAGCCCATAAATGCATGGTAACAAGAAAGAGTTGAATTTTCTAAAATGAAACCATGGGGACATGTCACTTTCTTACAATTGGTTAAAGAAATATAAAAATCAAAAAGACTAAATTTGGCTGAATTCTGGTTACTCAACCAAACAATTTTAATCTAGAAACAAAAACTAGATGCTGATAAAATTGGTATCTTGCAAAATTTTTATTTGCAATATAATAAATGTATTATACTATATAATCACAAATATCAACAGTAAAGGACTCTAATTTTCTGAATTGTAGTTGCACCTGACCAGCAGTGCAAAATATTCAAAATCATTCGTCAACAAATTACGCTATCTCTAGAATTACTTAAGAGTTCTAAGAGATTACAATCATTGAATAATGAAAAAACAATCTAGTGCCCACTTTTATTGAAATTTAGTTTCATCTTTCAGTTGCCCAAATATTAAAATTTAAGTGTAACAACGAAATTCTGGTTGCAAATGCGAACAAAAAAACCCTATAAGATAAAGTGATCTGATGAATATTTGTTAATCTTTCGACAACAACTGTTAAGGTATACCAATACCAAAATCCGAATGATATTTTCCCGTAATTCAGTTACCCGTCCTGGGTATTTAAAAGTTGTAAAAGCCCTGGCAAATCGTATCGGGCCTACTGGGATAGTCAAATGAGCAGCCCGTAGTCAGTTGGGTGTAGTTAGGTGTCGCGTTAATTCATACGCTAATGCGACATGCGCCGTTACGTAATCATTTTGGGAGTGGCAGCCGAAACTCGTGCGAGCTAACAAACAATGTGCGTGCCTAAAGTTTGTATATATGTTTAATCAGTATGTTTGTTACCGGGAGAGAGAACTTTATTATATTTATATTATTCACACTGTATGACACTCGACATTCTGCTTTCCTATAACGCCATCCGACTGTCGGGAACAAGACAAAATATTTTCGTACGTTTAATGTATGCAGAAACTTTGGACTAGCATAATTAGGTGACATTGAGTTGAAGATTGTTGAATGGTATATAATATGTATTAAGTAACAAAGTTATTATGCTAGAGAAATGTGTTTTTGTCAACTATGCAAATTTCAAAGACTTAATTAAAATTGGGGAAATATAAAGTCAACTTGGTAATAGTCAGATGTATAATGTATAATATAATTAAATAATACTGTGTGTAATTGTATATGTGCTACAGCATATACTCTACGCAGCTAAAGCAGTGCAAATACTTTAAAAAATAGTTCAAAATTTCCAAAATATAAAAAAACAAATTTTTGAAAAAAGTCTATTTATTTCAAAAATTTAAAAGTTCTCAAGAATCTAACTTTTTCAAAGTTTAAACTAAAACTCGAATCTTCTTTAAAAATTCAAATTTTTAGTACAGAAAGTTGCATCACTAATTTTTCCTCTAATCTATTATAATTAACGATATCTAACAATAACAACATAGCAACCTCCACCGCCTTCGTCCCTTTCGTCCTCTCTCATGCAACTGCCGTTGCCGTCATTATGCATATCTGTATAAAGCTCAGTTCAGCGTTTTAATACCGTGCCGGGGGCTATTTTAAATGGAGATTTCTTAAGAGCGCTTATATAAACCATTGTTGTTCCACTGGAGTGGGGTCATAGTTCGTTACTGCTGCTTGTTAATGCGCGCACTTAATGAATGTGCCAACGTATTAGAGTAATGCATGCGAAAAAAACGAACGAACAGGCTTCTTGCCAACGATTCTCAATTGCAAGCTGAAAATCGTAATAATTTCAGTAAAGGATATTCTGAATGAAATAAATAGCGACTGATCCACTAAACACACATTTTTGTTTTTTAGAAATTTTTATTTGGATCATCGCAACACCTTCCCCAACAAGGAACCCAACACCTTCCCTATCTTCAACAATACGGTTTTTATTATGTTCACATAAAATATATTCTAAGATTAAGATTATTTTATTTCAGTAATCATGGAGTATTATTGATCTAGTTGAAAGTGAAATTTTGCCTGAACCAAGTTGCATAAACTACCCGAAAAGTATTTAAGATTTAGATATTTAGATAAAATTTTCACTGCACAATTTCGTATATCGTGGTATCATGCACGTAGAGCCCCTGATATTATTCAATGATTTAAATTAATGGTATAATTTTTTACACAACTAAAGAAGTTTTGTAGACTTATTTTTCAGTTAATTCAAAAAAAATATTATTTAATTTGTAAAATTCAAATTTTGATTCATCACATTACAAAAGCGACTTTTGACTAGCATTAGGAGCTTTGATACATTTTTAAACTACTCGCCGTACGGCCGTAAAATTTCAGTATGTTATTTAAGACCATGAGGTCTATCGACATGAAAAATTTCATCAAAAAAATTTCAACAGTTAATTACGAAAGAACAGCTCGCCTGTCCAAAACAAATCAGCACGATTTCTTAATAATATCTTTCGAATTTTGGAAATTTTAAAATTTTTAAAGTTAAGTCAGAATTTTTGGCTAAAACGTGGACGATCAATTTTTACTTTTTTATTAACTACTAAGAAACGACTCGGCCGATCATCGCACAATTCTGAGAAACGATAGCCCTCATGGAGATACATCAAATGGCTTTTAAATTTTCCAAAACCGGCCCAGCCATTTTTGAGAAAAAGTCGATTTAAGGTAAAAAAATTTGTACATACTCTTTCAATTTTGGTTTCAGTTGAAACGTCGAGAAAACATAAAATTAGCCAATCGGATTTTTTGATAAAAACATAAACTTCTCCTTCGGGAAGTTAATAATATGTCTCAATACTCTCAATAAAAAATTATGTATAAGTCTGTTGATAATCTATCTTTGTTGCATGTACACAAATATTGAATAATGCCATTTCATTCGATATCTATATTATAACTGGCGAAGCAATCGGCTAACGTATTATAAGCAATAACGATACGCTTTATTATTCAGTAATTGATTTCTGATGATAACACTTACAGTTCAAGCCGCGTTGTATAGTATGTTGTATGGCGCGAGCCGATACTTGGGTGAGGTGAGAGGCCTCCTGTGTGGGTACTTCTCTTTGAATCGGTAAATGAGTTTATAGAATACATACATACTGGGGAAAGGTATTCACACGTGTAAATATATTGAATTTTAGATAATGAAAATTTGTATTTTATACAGGTATCATATAAATGGTTATGGGTAAATTACGCGATTTGCGGTCCACAAGCTCATGGTGAGGAACATTAGAGTAAAAAGTACATAGGAAAAATTAGTTCCATTTTTGATGATATTTTAAGTTCATCCTAGACTCTTTTATTTCATTATGAACATAGTGGTTTAGAAATTTTGATTTTTTTTAAAGCAATCGCGCTGTTTTAGCTGTGCAGAGACAAAATATAATACAGATGAAATGGTCAGATGGAAATGAGTATTTTTCAAAAATAGATTTCAACCAAACTACTGAATTTTTAGTTGCCCTTCACTATCATATATAAATATTTCCTCGATGTTTTCGTGTGTAGCGTATATGACGTAACAATGTGAAGTAATAACACAAAGATTTGTTCCCAAAACGGAACAGAAGTTGAGGATTTAATGCTACACGAAAACTTGTTCCAATAGCGTTTGCACACAGCAAGATATAACGAACTTAAGAGACAGTTAATACTAGGTCTCTGTGGAGTAATTAAAACGATGTGCATGTAAATTACGTATAACACAAAACGGAATGGTTTGGGAACTCCTTAGATGCTAAGATAGAAATAGAATTGCAGATATTCTCTATGATGTTATTTAGGTACTGCACGAATTTAATTGAAATTCAATCAATGCGATCATCGGCAGAAATTTATGAGTCTGTATAATTTCATTGATTTGAAAATTATGTATATTATATAATATTTTTAATAAATATTATAAATAATATTTATTCATAACACGTTTTGCCGAGGATTGTCCTCCTTTGCAATAAAAGCAGCACGTTTCTGAGTTGTGTTTCGATATTCATTTAAAATTATTAATATTCGAGAAAAAACTTACCGTTTTCTTTACAAATGATACAAATCCATATCCTTTAGATTTAAGTGTTTGTGGGTCTCGAACAACTCTGCAGTCTCTGTAAAAAAATTAGATAAAATTAGATAAAATCTTCATCAATACTAGAAATGTATTGAGTATTTAAAGATTGAATTATTTGATGTGTTCTTCATTTACAATACGTTTCGAAAAGTATATATTCCCCAATATATTCAAATTTATGCGCAGTACTGTCTCTCCTATTTTTACAGAATCTATTTTCTATGTTTAAAATAAACTCACAAATAACGCAGTACAAACAGAATATTGCATGAAATTGAACTTGTTCGATAACAAACAGTTACATTATTCCGTATTCAAACATCAACGTATGCTAAAAACAAAACATCTATATATTTCCATTTTTTCTCTATTATCCAAAGGCCTGTCCGCTCCAATATCGGCATTCGAACGACAAGACCAGGGATGTCAAATTTTGTAATAAACGATAAAAATATAATAGTTTTGGAAATAAACCAAAGTATGAATATATCTCTAATAATATGATTATAATAATAAAAAAAATGGTTATTGGAAGTATGGTGAAATAGAGAAATTATATGAATATTAATAAACCTGTAGTTCAAGGGATGTAAATTATATTTAGTGCACTGATTAATTATCGAGCTCGTAGAATAGACCAATGTTATGGCAAGGCTATGTTATGACCAGCTTTCATATGAAGTGGTACTAAAAACTGTAAAAATTCCTTGTGCTTGTTGTGTAGTCAAGAATTTTAGATAGAGAACCTAACCTACAAAACGCAAAAATATAAAAAAACGATGTTATCATAACTGGATCTTTGAGATATGGCTAGATAACATATGAGTGAAATTGCATTTTATTTGTAGAAAGCCTGATCGCACAGCAAGTATATGACATTTTGACAGTATTAGTAGAATTTTGTATGAAAACTTGAACGTAACATAGCCATAACATTGGTCTATTTTACGGCAGAATTGGACAATTAATTCCAACAACTGATGAAATACTTGGACATCCTTAATTTCTGTCCAATGTTAACGTCATCTGTGAAAGGGTACAATTTAAAATATGTTTGAAAGTAATGTTTTGTTTACAATTCAGATATTTTTTTAAGAACAGTTGATGTTTTTGTAAAGAAATAATATTATAACCCAAAATTATCTATTTCCTACCCTGCCCTGGTCAATAGGATCCCGTTTACCCTAGATCCGTGTATCCGTATATCCATATCCAAAGGGCGTTATGCATCTTCATATGCGCTGACAGCGAATTCGAGAGAGCCGAGAGAGAGTCGAGAGAGAGCGGCGCGTGTGTTGTATGCCCCGTATCATATTCCTTGTTCTGGCAAATGCATCGGATATATTGACAATGCCACATGACATGTAAGCAAACCCAATCGACATGCATATATGCGTTGCCATGAACTCACAAACTCAACACATAACATAACACCCAATTCGGAAAATAAAGTCGGAATTTTTAACATACGAGGATCATTCCAATGGTGTACAACTTGTAGTACAAATGAAAAACGAAAGAAGAAAATGAATGCTATAGCATTCACGTCCGTAAACGTATAATTAAATAATTATTAAATTTTCATTGCATCCAAATATCATCTTGTAGTGTATGCTGACTAGATGAATTGTAATTCAAAATAACAAAAATAATAAAGAAAATTGATATTATATATATTATTCATAACCTTGCTGCAATTGGGTGATTCTAATCAAATTTAACATATTGATTTTTTTTATTGATCATCAACAGCAAAAAAAATGATATTATGTTCTACTAGAACAATATAAATAGTAAATATATAAACGAAATATCATCTATAAATGTTCAATTACTTGATTAAAAAAATGTTTTATATATTATGAACCATGAAGTTCTAATACGTTCTAATATTATACTATAATTTATATAATATAGAATAAATAAATTTTTATTACATCAAAATATCAGTTGCCTCTTTGTAATCAGTGCAAAGAATTTAAAAAAACTTGATAATTGCACATCAGAAATTACATTTTAATTTGTGATATAAAAAACTATTTGAGTTTTGAGGCAGCTGATATTTTGGTGTAATAAAAATTCATTTATTGTATATTATATAAATCATAGTTAATTAATATGAAATATCAGGTCTAATGATTGAGATGTTTTATAATTTGACTATTAATTTATACATTTTTTATAAAAAAACTGAATATTTTTTTTACGGAAGTTATGGAAAAATATTTGAGTTTATAGCATTATAGTTTATATTAAATTATTATATATGAAATAATCAAACAGCCTTTTCAACTTTGTTATGATTTTTTAACTAAATTCAAAGGGGTTTTTACGTAAAGATCTAAATATATCTGAAGCCGTATTAATAAATATCCGACAAAAATTTCTAAATATTTATTTAGTTAAAACAATTAAATTTATGGCTTGCAACCATATAACGCCAACTTTCAAAGAAAATATTACTGCTCATATACAACCGTGTATAAGATCTTATTTTACAATGTAGCAATTCTTAATATCTCTCAATTTATAATGTTAATTTATACACGGTGTGATATGAATAGCCCTATACATTACAATAGTAACTTTTAAAAGAAGCATCAGAGTTGTTTAGTTTTTCATTCAGACAAAGACGCAAAATTGTGCAGAAGAAACATTTCAAGAAAGTTTCCTATCTAGTTGTACAAAAGTAACGGTAGGTTGAGGCGTAGATGGCAAGTTGGCCAGAACTCTTTTCAAAGTATTTTCTTTTATCCACAACCATAAATATTCATAAATATAAACGTTGTTATCTCAACGTGGAAGCGAATTCTACATTTCTTGGACTTTTTTCTAATTTATGCCGTTGCGGATATTGCATTTTTAAATTTGTATATATGATTATATAATGAGGAATAATTTTTACGTCGACAGATAACATACCATATACAAAGTTGTATATCATGATTAAATTTGGGAATGCTGAATTGTTAGGTATATTTTACTTCGCCGCCTTTTTCTGTCAATATTATTCCAATAATCGTTTCCATAAACATTCCCATATTGCAGTTGCACCTTTCGGCGTAATCTCGACACGAGCACATGTGTTTCATCCATAAAGCTCTTTCAAGTTGACAACTTAATCGTATGATATCGATACAATGATTTGTTTCCACTCGGATCTATGTAGGAATCATGTGCTCGGGATTCGGCATGGTATTGAAAAGCAGCTTTATACAACGTTAACATTATTTCAATATCTATTATCTATTAGCTTTCAATGGCTTACTATATTCTATTTGAATAATGTTGAGGATTATTGACGATGAGTGAATTGCGAAGCGACTCTCATAGTTGCGCCGGCAGAATTCCAGCGAAGTTTGTAATATATATATATATATATATATATATATATATATATATATATACATATATATACACACATATATACATACAAATATACATATATATATATACATATATATACACACATATATACATACAAACATACATATATATATATATATATATATATATATATATATATATAATGCTGTTGATTGCAATACTCCTCAGAAAGTGTCAAATTTTTGTGAATGTTTATAATCACATTTAGTATGACTGAGAATCGTCCACCATCTATTTTTCATATCCTTCAATTGGTAAAGGCTTGCCATTCCTATTTTTTTTTTAATTTTGTGGGCCTAAATCTTTTATAATACGTGATTAAAAAACACATACAGACTTAAATTTTTACCCATTCTCTCATACATCATACACTTCCAGATTAGCTATCAGTTATTTTTTATACTAAAAACGTTCTGGAAATATATTTTAATTTAATATAATTTAATTTTAATTAATTTTTGTATTACGAAGCAAAGTACAATATTTCATTTTTAAATTCAAAAAAAAATATATATATATATATATATATAATAATAATATAAAAACATCTTTTATTTCGAAATCCTTGCATTTGTAAATGATTGAAATATATAATTAATGCATGATGTGAATCCAATACTTATGTTTACATGAAATTTCAAAATATTTGATTCCGAACATAGTACATTATTATGCAAGTATTAATAACATCGGTCGTTTATTAATGTCAAATATGTAATTAATGCCAAAGGCAAGTGATGTAAAACGAGCAATAACATTAATTACGTAAAATTATTTACTATGCAATCAAGTTTCCGACTTCATAATTATCATGCGCTCGTATTTATTGTTGAATTATACAACTTTGTATAAAAATAAAACGGTTATATTAAGTAATATGCCATGTTCAAAGTCTATTACTTATACAGATTGAAATCAAACATCGATTACGAGAAATTATAGCTCATGGCAGTCTTCATTAAAATGCATTTACCCATGAATTAAGTTCATGGCGCGGGTAATTGCAACAATGTTTTTATTTAAATAATTGTACATCAGTATTCATTATCAAAACTGGGGCATTTAATGTACACATAACCGGGAGAAAATTAATTAGATTTAATTAAAAAATGGGAAATAAAATACAGTATGGTTTTGGATAAAAGTCATTGAGTAACCAGTTAGTTAAAATGTCGAACTATATCCCAAACAATGTATTATCAAATCTCTCGTACTCTATAACAATATGTCGCGCGATCATAAAAAGGGTTTAGACTTATTGAATTTTTATATCCACATAACACATATTAGAGTATTAAAATCTTTTGAAATATTCCTTATTCCACGCATGACTACTTTACTTTTACAGAGCACTAACTCCGACGAAGCGGCTGCACGTGGAAATGCAAGGAAGAAAAGCATACGCCGGCAGACGATAATGTTCTCGTCGGAATGATATTATACTTTGCTAGAAAAAGAAATTTAATGGCAAAGTGAAATATTGAAGGAAAATATTCACCTTCAAGTACATGTTCATAGGCGACGATTTAGTAGAAGATTGTAGAAGGAAACTAGCTGACAAACATTCAACTACCAGATTGGTAAGATTAATTAAAAGTCACTATTTATGACATAAAATTTAATTATAAATTTTATTAAACAAACCAAATT